AGTTACTTTCATAGTAACTAGTAACGCGTTACTTCAGGAAAGTAACGTCTTTGCAGTTACTTATCAATCAATCTGAAAAGTAACGAAGTTACCAAGTAACGCGTTACTTTCAGTAACTCGTTAAAGTAAAGTAACTTTTTTTTGTCGTTACTCCGAGCTCTGGTAGTGTTAAGGAAAAAAAGTATCAAAGTGATAAGGGGGAAATAAATAAATGGATAGTGGATAGTGGGTATAAAATTAATATTGTTCCATTAATTTGAACAATAACATTCGACATACGAAATATTTTTGGTTGCATTTTTCAATTGTTTTGTGAAAAATATTATTAAATTTGTATAAGTGGTTATAGTTGCCTGTTCGCTGTGTGGCGTACCTAAAGTTATAAAATACACAGAATAATTTGATTCTGGGGAAAATCAGGACAAATTATTACTTTGAGGTTAAGCTTATGATATAAAATCAATAAAATCATGCCTAATAAAAACACCTGCGACACCTGCTCCGTCTGCACCCTTGTGCTAGGGGAAGATGAAAAACAAATACTTTTTTGCGACAGTTGCAGAAGTAAATCTCACTTGGCTGAAAAATGCTCTGGTTTGTCAACATCCGAGGCCAGAGCAATTATACTTCAGAAACGAACCCTAATGTACTTCTGCCTTGATTGTCGAGAAGCATTTAAAAGTGTCCCCGTTATGGTCCGCAAGATACTATCAATGGAAGCAGAAATTCAAACCTTACAACAAAAAGTTTGTGAATTGGAGAAACATAAATCAATTAACGCTGAGTCAATGATTCATGAAGTGAACCAACGAACCTTGAGATCACATAACTTGATGGTTTACAACATTCCAGAGTCGAACTCTCCCAACCTGAAAGATCGCATTGAATATGATAAAACAATGGTTTCCGATGTATTTACTAAGTTGGGACTGCAGGAAGAAATCCCTACAGTAAAGAAAGTTGTTCGTGTGGGCCAAGTAAGAAACAATGGCAGTAACTCTAGATCAAGGGCTGTTAAAGTTATCTGTAACGCAGAAACTGCGAAGTTGGCGATTCAATCTGGCAGAAAGCTGCAGGGAACAAATTATAGAATATCATTTGATCAAACACCAATGCAGCAGGATGCGTACAAAAGAGCTAAAACTGTTTTGGAAGAGAGGAAGGCTGCTGGTGAACAGAACTTGACTATTGCTTACCGTAATGGTATACCTGTTGTAAGCATCAAGCAACAAAAAAACATGCAAGCACCCCATTAAATGTGTATTTTCAAAACGTTGGAGGCCTTCGAACCAAATTGGTAGAATTTACAAAGTCAATTGCTGGTTGTCAGTACGATATTATTGTTATAGTAGAGAGTAACTTGAACGTAGACTTTCCGGATAGCGAGCTTAAATTTGATGGGTACAATGTATTTCGCTGTGATAGAAATTCTATTACCAGCAAAAAAGCCAGCGGTGGTGGTGTACTAATTATAGTCAAAAATTGCATAAAATCATCATACATATCTATATCAGAGGAAAGAATTGAGCAGCTTTTTGTTTTATGTGAAATAAACAAGACCAAGTTTGTAATTGGAGGTGTTTACATACCTCCTCAATCTGCTCAAGAAACTTACGTTATGCATTGTGAAACAGTTAACCATATCCTCCAGCAATACTCTTCTTTAAATGTTTACCTGCTAGGCGACTATAACCTGCCCAACGCAATTTGGTCCAATGATGAGTTTGGAGTAGCAGTTCAATGCCCAATGGGTGATGCAGCAATAGAGGTAGCTCAATCGTTTGGTTACCACAAATTATATCAGTGCAATAGACTACCTAATAATAGGAATGTATTTTTAGACTTAGTTTTTTCGAATGTTGAGGAATGCGAAATAGTCAAGGCTAGTGATCCCCTTTTTAATTCTAGTATACATCATATTAGTTATGAATTTTCCATATTGGTCTCCAAAAATGTCTCTTCTAATGGATTGGTGTATGAAGAGTTTTTCTATGATTTTAGGAACGGTAACTATAGAGAACTTAATAACTTTTTAGCATCAATAGATTGGCCAGTATGTTTAAATGTTGGCAACATCAATATGGCTACGAGTCTCTTTTATGAAATTTTGTTAACAGGAATAGTATTGTTTATTCCCCTAAAAAAGTACCGCACAACTACTTTCCCAAAGTGGTTTTCAGCTGAACTGCGCGCTCTTACTATACAAAAAAAGCAGGCGCATTTGTCATATAAAAATAGTCCATCTAATGAGAGCTACATAAGATTTTCTCAACTGCGTTCTGACTGTCGGATATTTGTTTTAATAATTATATGCTTGGTCTGGATGCAAACTTAAAAGAGAATCCTAAATCTTTTTGGAAGTATGTCAACGATAAACGTTCTAGTCACACATTGCCCAGTTCTTTGGTTTATGGCGACCAGGCCGCAACTAATGGTCAAGAAATTGCTAACTTGTTTGGAGATTTTTTTCAAACTGTTTACACGGTCAATGACGATTCATCCCAGTCTGTTTTTAATCACCCTAATGACATGAACTTGAGCATCAATATAAAAGTTACTGATATTTCTGTGATCGATATTTTTAATGAAATCATGAAAATGCCTGATAAGCTTGCAGCTGGACCAGATGGCGTACCTAACTTTTTATTAAGGAGATGTGTTTGTACAATAGGCCCCTTGCATCAAATTTTTTTATTGCTGATTTCGATAGTCCATGAAAAATAAGTCAACACGTGTTTTTTCTTTTTCTTCTTAGTCAAAAATTGACGGAGATACAACGCTATGAAATATGCCTATGACGTCATCAGGTATAATACTTTATGACGTCGCACATGCTCAGTATATCTATATATACAAAACTTAATATTTGTATAACTTCCGAAATAATCATATTTGGGCGAAATGAAAAAAAAGTAACGATTTTTTTTCGATTTCCTACAGTTTGCAATAAACAATAATCAATTTAATTTTCCATGCAAGTACCCTATTGTAATACCATTGTCTGTACTCTTCAATGAATCTTTAACATCTTCAGTTTTTCCTGATACCTGGAAGGAAAGTCATATAGTCCCAATTTTTAAAAGTGGAAAGAAAAACGATGTAGAGAACTATCGGAGCATTTGCATACAATCAGCAATCCGGAAGCTATTTGATTGTTTGGTCACTGGGCAGATATCCTGGCAATGTGAGGGTTTGATTGGCCAGCAGCAGCATGGCTTCTCAAAGAACAAGTCGACTTTATCTAATCTAACAACTTACCAACTAAATATTCTTCAGAATATGGAAGATAGATGTCAAACAGATTCGATATACACAGACTTTTCTAAAGCCTTTGATCGGGTAGATCATAATATTTTGCTTCATAAGATGCTTTTATTAGGCTTTAATCCTGAGTTTCTGTTATGGTGGAAAAGCTCATTGAGTGATAGAATACAACGCGTCAAAGTCGGTTGTTATTACTCTGATACCATACGTGTTACATCTGGAGTACCCCAAGGGGGCCATAGTTCTCCGCTCCTATTTAATATTTTTGTAAATGATATTGTCGATTGTTTTTTGAATAGTGAGTGTGCTTGCTTTGCTGATGACATTAAATTTTGGAGAGGGATTTTGACCGTTCATGATCAGGACCTACTGCAGGAGGATTTGGACCGGTTATCTGTCTGGTGTCAAACGAACAAATTACACTTGAATGCTAAGAAATGCAGTTATATCAGCTTTTCTCGTAAACCTGTCAGAATTCCTACAGAATATTTTATCAATGATCAACAACTAGAATACAAAAAGTCGATAAAGGATTTGGGTGTGATTTTTGATGAAAGGTTGACATTTGTTGATCATATCAATTCAATAACAGTCAAGGGTTCAAAGATGTTGGGATTCATTGTAAGAAACACGACCTTCTTCTCAGTCGATGCGACTAGAATGGTGTATTGTTCCCTAGTGAGAGCTATTTTGGAGTACTGTTCGCCGGTGTGGGCTCCATTTTTTCAAATTCATTCAAAGTCTCTGGAAAGGGTGCAGCATAAGTTCTTGCGAGTATGTGCATTCCGATCTTATATTCCGATTGTGGACCATGACTATACTACTGTGGAAAGGTTATTCAGGTTGCCTACTTTGAGTGCAAGGAGAGATTTCTTTGGCATATTGTTTGTTTTTAAAATTGTTAACGGCCTGATTGACTGTTCTTTTCTTTTAAGCCAAATTGGTCTAAATGTTCCTTATTATATAAATATTAGACATCATTCTACTTTTAATATTCCTTTTCATAGAATATCTTATGGTATTTACTCTCCAATAAATAGAAACTTGGTAAAGATTAATAATCTAGATTTAGAAATTTTTAATGTGTCCTTGTCTAAATTTAAAAGAGACTACAAAAATATGCTTCTTGTACCTTAATAACAACTAACTGTGTTATTTGTATTGTTCCTTTTCTTTAGCGTTCAATGTTATCTACATAGACTACATATTAGTAAATTATTTATAAATATTGTCACATTATATTTAATTTTTCTGTAAAATTTCTTTAATGGGGTTGTCCCGTATAATAAATAAATAAATAAATTTATTTAAACATATAGTAGTAAAGTAAAGGTAGATAACGTCAACTAAGTAAGTTTAATTTATCAACGAAATCAGGTGCACACACAGTATTCTAAATACTATAGTGCACTGTATCTTATTTAGCAGTGATAGGAAGATAGGGAGGTTATTGATGTGAGGGTTTCTGGTTTCTTTTATTTACTTATATCCACATTAAGTTGTAGTCTCGGTTCTAGTATATTTGTGTACATTGTGAACTATTGCTGAATAAAGAAATAAAAATGAGGAGTTTCTGAACTACAGCATCTGGAATTCCGCTGCAATCCCACATGCTTGTACACTATAATTCTAAGGTAGTTTACCCCTCAATTTTAACAATGAACAAACAAATAAATAAGTAATGCTATTCACATCATCTTAAAAAACACTACAAATCTTGGTACAAATATACTTACATAAAGTAGCAACCATGCTGTAGAAGACAATACCGAAAAAACTGTTTGGTTTGTGGAACACCGAAGATTCCCCGAAAATCCCAAATCCTTTTCCATATCTAAAGAAAAACATTAAATTGTTTGTTTAGTACCTAATGAATTGCCGCAACACGAAAACAAATTACTTGTACAAACTGTAATGCAACTCTACACTGTGTAGTGAAATTTGATATTGCAATAAAAAATGATAAGAAACTTTAAAACAATAATAAAATGTTTATTTTTGTTGTCCGAACAAAAAAAAAAAACAAACTTACTCTGACCCGAAAGCTTTAGTACAACTCATATGGGGGTTGATGTCGCAATAAGGCTTGTACCCCTTATTTTCTTCCATAGTAAGCTCCACCGTGTAGGCGTACAAAGACAGCCCCAGCCCTACCAAACAGAAAAACACCAAAAATTGATTGTAGACCCATAAACTTATTCCACTAGGACTTTGTTCTTTTGACATCCTTGAAAAAACTAATTATATTTATTGTTATTAAAACAACTAAAAAGAATTTGGCAATAATTAATAACAAATAATTATTATAAACAAGTGTCTTATATTTTATATAGGGAGGGCTGATTTTGACAGCTTGACGTCATAAACGTCTCCAACATGTGGACGCATGACAAGATGATGGTGAACAGTGCTGCCAGATGTTTTAAAAATGTCTTAATAGGTATTTTAAATTTTGGTTAATAATAAGGTATTATTAATATAAAAATGGCAAAAAATTATATTTGCAATAATAATTAATTTTTTTATAGAGCGCATAAATCCGCCAATAAATTGCAACACTGGGTGAAATTTTGCAACCCCCCTTTTATAAAAATGCCCTTTTGTTCTCAATTTATATAGAGGGGTTGAAAAACGTTAAACGGCAACGTCGCGTAATACATAGACAAAAGGTAAAAATATCGTCCGCCAGACGGCGCTTCGGTAACGCGACATTTTACAGTATTGACTGTGGCCGTGCCGTTGTTGTAAATATTGTTTATTTTCGGGTTTTCCGCGTTTTTTTGTAAAGTTTTGGTGTATGTCGGGCGTTGCGCTTGGTGCGTGCTACCCGAGGCGATGTTCCCGATCGCGAAAGACCAATGGATACAACAATAAACCCGGTTAAAAATTCGCCTTGTCCAGCTTACGGAAAACGAAAGCCACCTCTTGACATGGCAACGATGGTTCGCCGCAGAGCAATAGATTGAGCCATGGAAATAGAGGTAAAACAAAGAAATAGAAGGCGAAAACGCGCTCAGCGTATGCAGCAAGAATTAAAAGTGACGAATGCTAATAAGGCGATCCCGGACGAGAGCGAGACCGAGGATGTCGTGCCCAAGAAACCCCCACGGCCCCCCAATCGACGGAAAAAACAAAAGGACCTACTCAAAGAGCCCTTGTGCGAGGAGGACCTCGTAGAGGGCTTTTCCATACTTCAATTTAGGAACTACGAGGACTTGGAGGTAAGTTTTACAAGGGGTTATTGGCCAAATTTGCATAGTATTGTCGCCAAAACGATTTTGTCCGACGGCAAAATGAAAATTGTTTTCATGCACATCTATCCTGTCTTTTTACGTACCTATGTAATTTGCCCACATCATCATCAAAACCCCTTGCAAAGTGTTTTCATTTATTTATAAAAACACACCCGTCAGCTGTTTAATATTATACTAATGTTTTTGTATTGATTTTGTTTTGGACAGTGAAAGTGTGACATCAATTTGATGTTTTTGTATTATTAGCACCTGATTGTGATTTTCTGTAAGACTAGGAGGAAAATCCTACTACAGTATGCTTTATTGGCACAAAAAAACTGATGTTTCATTGACACAAAGCAAAAAAAGCATTACATAAATGAAAAAGAAAGAAAGTTCCTGAGGAATCCGGTCATGATATAACATGACAATAATTAAAATCTAATTTGTTATTTAGAAAACTTGATAGTTTATGCATTAATCTTACTCTTTTTTGTTGTTTTTTCTTTAATTTCAAAGATTCATTTTGGCTTCTTTCGTCAATAGGAATTGTATTTCTTGGACAATAAAGCATGTTTTGATTTCAATTGATTTGATTTGATGAATAACAATGTTTTCTATATTGGTGTGTGAGTAAAACACTCAGAAAGTGCTATTTCAAATTTGTTACTCACAGATTGACTACTCGTCCAATCAAATTGTATCTTTGAAATATGTAGGTATTTCTATTTTTTATTTATTTATTTATTTATTCAACATCTTACAAACACCCTAAGGTTATTACATGTAAGGAAAGCCTAATACTAAATAGAAACACAAATTAACAACTAGAAATGGGAACAAAATATAAAACAAAATAAGTTATACCTATTTACGGATTGTACAAGCTATATCCAATATTATTTAATTTCGTTTTAAAAAGTGACACATCAGGATTAAAGATATCAAAACTATGCTGAAGTGAAAGGATATTACACGCTTTTAGCATAAAAGCAAAGGGAGAACAACTAAGGGGATTAATACAAAAATCTCCCAGCATTCTTAATCTTAAATTAATGTTGGGCACTCTTATACTTATAAGTTCCACCAAATAACAACAATTGTATTTAATGTTATTAATGATTTAATATACAAATATCACAGCCTGATTTATTCTTCTTTGTACAAGAGTTTGATATTTAAAACTAATTAACATTACATTATATGATATTAGGTATGGATAAACATGGTTCTCTCTTAAATATAAATAACGCAGAAACTTTTTTTGGACCCTTTCAATGTAATCTATGTGGCAATTTGCTTGATGCGACCAAATTATAGAGGCATACTCAAGATGCGGCCGTACCAATGAGTTATATAAAATTTCAAGTGTCTCAGTCTTAACGAAAGATTTCGAGTTTCTTATGATAAAACCTAGTTTGCGATATGCCTTGTTGACAATATGGGTGAAATGTAAGTTGAATCTAAAAGAAGATTGCAGATACACTCCAAGATCCTTAACACTGTCACCGCGCTTAAGGATCTTTCCATCTAAATTATAGTCATAATAGACTGGTTGTACCTTGTGAGTGAAAGTCATCACAGAGCATTTATTAATATTTAGAGACATTTTGTTCAAAGAAAACCACTGAGAAATAGACTGCAGGTCTTGTTGTAATTTTGTGCAATCTTCCTTCCCAGTGACAGTTTTAAAGATCTTGAAATCATCCGCAAAAATAAGGCTTTTTGAGTAATTAACCACATTAGGCAAGTCATTAATAAAAATGACAAACAAGATTGGGCCCAGATTACTGCCCTGTGGAACACCGGATGTTGCTACAAATTTATTTGAAAAGCAGCCCCCAATTTTGACTACTTGCATTCTATCGGAAAGGTAAGACTGGATGAATAACACTGATTGTGCAGAGAATCCAAAGAGTTTTAATTTCTGCAACAAAATCCGATGATCCACCTTATCAAATGCCTTGCTACAATCTGTAAAAACAGCGTCCAATTGTTGCTTATTATCAATTGCTTTTGAAATTTCCTCTGTAAAGACACATAGGTTAGTAACTGTTGATCTGTTGTTAACAAAACCATGTTGTTCCCTACACAGTTGTGGTGTGATATGAGCCTTGATCTTATTACAAAGTACAATCTCAAAGATTTTTGCCATGGAATTAAGAACACTGATGGGCCTGTAATTACATACATCACCAACACTACCAGACCTAAATATAGGCGTTATCACAGCTGTTTTTAATTTATTTGGAAATATGTTATTCTTTACAGACATAGAAAATACATGAGTCAAGGGTTCAACGAGAAAATCTACACAGCCTTTATAAATATAACTAGGAACATATCGGTACCAACACTTTTCTTTGGTTTTAACTGCTTTATTGCTACCCTTACGTGCTCCTCAGTGATCAAATCCAGCCCAAACTCACCCTGAGAATCCAGCCCCCCTAATGAACCCACAGGCTCATACACAGAAGCAAAATATTCAGCAAATGCATCTGATATTTCAGGGGGACCATGATACATTCTATTATTAAAATTCATTTCATTAGGAATACCATAATTTTTCGATTTACATTTTATGTGGCTCCAAAAACCATTAGGATTATTTTTAATGCCTGATTCAATGGTTCTTTGGAAATTACTATATTCATTGCTAGTTTGACACTTTATTTCACTTCGCAGATTCAAAAATTTAAGCCGCTGAGCAGCACTAGCCTTTCCTATTTTAATTAATCTATGAATTTTGTTTTTTTGTTTAATTTTATTTATAAGATGTTTGGTAAAATATTTGGGGTATTTAACTTTATTTGTAGTATGGCTATCTTTAATGTGCCTCTTGGGAATAGCACAATCAATACATTCGAATAATTTTTTATAAAATGCATCAGTGGCCAAGTTAGGATCAGAAATGATGATGATGGTTAAACGGATTTTTTTTTATTTTGTGAACATTCCTATTGCACCAATCGCGAATTTCAGGCTCAATTACTTCTGTGATTTCGTGAGTTTGGAAAAGTCTGATTAAAATTGCAAAGTACCCAAACTAACCTGGTTATTATTGGTAAGTTTAGGAATGTCTGAAATTCGCGATTGGTGTATTTCCGGAGCCTTTAATGAGCCTTGAATGTCTTTGCAAGTGGAATTGCAATTTCTGTCGTTTAGCCTTTTTTTTGCTCAGGTTTTGCTGGCTTAGGTTAAAGCTAGCAGAATAGCCATTTTCGTGGAAACTAGCAGAGCCTGAAATTTCTCATTACAGCATTTAATTAGCCTTTGATGTATTCACAACGACTACACTATTGGAACACTGATTTTTACTGTCTGACAGGTTTTTCCGCCATGCTCTACCGACATTACTCACATATCGCCACTTTTCGCAATTTCATAAAAAAAGTAATTGAGCCTGAAATTCGCGATTGGTGTACTTCCAGAGCCTTTAAAGAGCCTTTAATGTCGGTGCATCTGGAATTGAAATTTTCTTTGTTTTAACCAATGACCTTTTTAACCACTTTTTCGCCCATGTTCTGCTGGCTTAGGTTAAAGTTAGTAGAATAGCTATTTTCGCGAAAATTGATGGAGACTAAAATTTCTCATTACAGCATTCAAATAGCCTTTAATTTTATCACTACGACTGCACTACCGGAACACCGATTTTCACCGTCTTGAGAAGTTTTTCTGCCATGCTTGGCCGACATCACTCACGCATCGCGCTTCTTGCATTTTCACAAAAAAAGTAATTGAGCCTGAAATTCACAATTGGGGTTTTTTCAGAGCCTTCAATGAGCCTTAATTGTCTGTGCTAGTGGAATGGCAATTTTCGTTATTTTAGCCACTTTTTCGCTTATGTTCTGCTAGCTTAAGTTAAAGCTAGCAGAACAGTCATTTTCGCGAAAAATTAAGGAGCCTTAAATTTCTCATCGGGGCATTTAATTAGCCTTTAATAAGCCTTTAATGTTCCATGTATTGATTTTCGATTTTTCTGATTTTGCTTTTCCAGCTTAAGAGACATGCAGAAGAGAACACTTTAGAAATGTATGTAGGGTCCTCGGTAGAGTCAAAAGGGGATCCCCATGCAAACCTCTATTTCTGCAGCATAAAATTTTAACCTTGTACTGTATATTTATTCTTGAACGTGTACCTATGTGTTGTCTTTAAAATGTTTTATGAGAAGCTGGATAGACAAGGGCAGTATAGTGCTCATCGCCACTTGCCCATTCTACATTTGACATCAGTAAAGAACTCCTTTGTCTACAACTCAAAAAAAAATTAATGCTTTGCCTTCTGAAGTTAAGAATCTTACAGGTTACAGAAGGTTCAGTGTATGCCCAAGAAGTTTTTGGTCTCTAGGGCATTTTATAATTTGTACAATTTTTTTACAAATGACTTGTATCAAGGTCCAAGGTGGACCTTAATGCTTTATTTGTTTTACTGTACTTGTTGGTGCTCAATTTGGCTTTAAGCTAGATGGAATTAGGTTTGTTTTATTTTTATTTTAAGCATGGCTTTTTCAACAAGTAATATGTATTTAGAAAAATAAAGCTATTTTTGAATTTGAATTTATGGCAAAGACTATTGTAACCAAGATTGTAACTGAATAAGTATGATGATTTAGACCTGGGAAATAATAATTACCCTTTTAATAACTCCAAATATAGGATGATTAATAGCAATATTCATAAGATTTTCTTTTAAAAATGTACCTATTTTTGAATTTGATATTATTTCAACTAGAATAAGTTAAACTTTAAAAAAAAAACGTCTACATTGAGAATTTTTTACCTTATTATCAAATCATGCAATCAATATCCTTATTGGGCTACACAAAAAGTTTAAATATGAAGTAGTAATGTTTGATAGTGATATTGAATGTCTTTTACTAAAAGTTAAATATAAAAAAGTTGTATTTTATCTATCATGCATATAATTTCCGCCAAACTGTGATATTAATTTGTATGAAGATTTTTACAACATCTTGCAAAGTATTTTAG